ATATTATTTTAAATAATAATCGTCAAATTATAACGAGTAACGACTATAATTAATTGTGTGTATACAGTCTATGGGGGGGGATTGATCCCCTTGATCCCCCCCCCGTAAATACGCCACTGTTTTTCGTATACAATGATATAATATAATTGGATTCAAAACTAACTCCATCCACTTGTAACCTACTGTACAGCAGAGCGACATCCACTTTCCTGCTTTTTTTTTAAGTTTGTTGTTTTATTTTCATATCAAGAGCTTTAGTAAGGAGTACTGAATAGGCAATAACAACAAAATCTATTTTTTAATATTATTATCCGTTTTCATCGTATTGTGACATAGTTGCGTAGAATATTGATCATTACTCATTTATGTGTGATAATGTAGTTCGAAGAATTATTGTGGAATGAAAATTACTCGTTTTCACATGCACATTGACACGAAGTCAACAATTTGATATAAATATATAATATATTAATATTATATCTTGTATTACTTCACTGTAGGATAGACAGTAGACACTACTAAAGTACTAACTACTAAATTGATCAATTTACATTCCTTCATATCGCTCCAATGATAAGATTTTAATGCTTCTCGTCCGAGCGATCATACAAACAATTTGTTTCCATTAATTAAATGTTCGTCTAAAGACCCTTTGTATGTATCTACAACTTACAAGCTATACAAATATTTAACATTCTTAAAAAAAAAAAATGTATTGTATATTTGTATGTTTAAAGGATTGTTCGAAAACKGTCAGTATGATCCGAAGAATACAAAACGAAAAATCCAAATATGTTCGAAATCTAAATATTAAGATTGATAAAAAATTAAAATTTAAGTAGGCATTTTTAGCATGAAAAACAGTCCGTTTTGAATTTACAAATTATAATGCACTGTAATCTGTAATAATTAAAACCAGACATTTTTTCTATGAATTGATATTATTTTCAATATTGTATGCATGAACAGTTGTCCTCGCACAGACACTCGAGTACAATCGCCAAATCGCATTTGTTAATCATGGCACAGATTATAATAATCTGAAGTAGGTACCTACGCTTATTTAAATATTTATTTCATGAAATCCAATGTTTCCCAAACTTTTTTTACTCAACGCCCCTTTTAGATTTCAAAAATTTCACACCATCTCCAATCAATTTTTTAAAAAGATTTACGTTTCATTTTTTAATAAGCTGTCTAATTAAAGAAAAAATATATTTTAACGCTACAATTTAGTTAATTTTAAATTTAAATACTTACCTACTAATAATATGAATTAAATAATTGAATTTTGATTTTATTGAATTAACTAATATAAAATAATAACACATATAAGATACTTAGGTGACTAATGACTGCCCCGAGGTTAATGGTTTCCTACTAACGGAATATTATAACTGGCACAACAGATGACAGCATTAGTCTTATCTCCACTTTCACATATTTCTGATATGTTTCTTGATTTGGTGAGAAGTTGTTGAACCGCATTAAATCGTTTTTCTATAAAATAATATAATCATATTATCTACATAATTCTGTTTATTTCTGTATATTATTACATTTGGTATTTTAAATTATTTTTTTATTCTACGCAGCTATAGAGTCATTACAGTCAGTTATAAACAATTAAAATGCAAATGATGGATGATCACCCCCTCAGAAAAAGAAAACCACTCCATCAAAAATAAAAATGTCAAAAATGGGGCGGTCGCCAAATTAATTACATTGTCATCTGTCAATCTGTGATCCGAGTAGTAAGCACAGCGTCATCTACCGCCGTATTTTTATTCTCGCATATAGGGAGCAAAAATCAACTGTAACTGTTGCACACTCTAGCCGCTAGATAGCGCGTTCTCTTACGATTTTTATTTATTATTTTACAAACAAATTACGGATTTCTTATGTCAATCTCGGGATTCGGACTCTGTTGTCCACGATAATCTAAATCAGCGGTTCTCAAACTGCGCATTAGGCCACTCTAGGGGCATCACGAGTTCTTTCTAAGGACACAGAGGTGTTTAGTTCATAATAAATAATTTAAAGTGAATAGAATGCTTTTTTTCAAAAATTAGTTAGATTTATTAGTTTAATATGAACTATTAAACTGTATAATATAGGTACACTATAGATATTATGATCATGATAACAAGTTTATAACTTTATGAGAAATAGAGGTCATAATATTACGATTTGAAGTACACAATTAAAGGTAAATTGAGAATGAGCAAGTTTGATCAATACAAATCCTGAATAACACATAAATGCTTTATAATAGATTTACAGGTTGTA